AATTCATTGCAGCCTCTCATAGAACTGATCTTTATCGTCATCGTCGCTATCATTGGTGGTTGCATGACATTGGATAATATTTATCGTGATTTGTTCCTTCTTCGTTTTGAAGGATGCTTTGATGACCATGGATCCATGAGATTCCCATCCTTTAAGTGCTTCACATGATTCTTTGAACAGTATCAGAGCAATTCCCTGAGTGTGTGAAGCATTTCCTTCTTCGTGTCCAGAGTACAGCATCATCTCTCTCGAATCTATTCTTTTCCGTCCAGTTTGGATCCAATGGGTTTCACTGAATCCAATTACTCTCATGTTGTATCTCCTCATTTCTTCAGCTATTTGGTTGGTGTTCTCGCTCTCCCACATTGTCTGAACATTCTATGTATCTGTATTAATTGTTGGTCTGTTTGTTAGATGAGGCATCGACCTCGTGACTTCTGAAGAATCTCGGCTTTCAATATGAGACATCATAATTCTTCGTTCAAGTGGGAGGACAGAGGTCAAATGGTTTAAATTGTTTAATGTGGTTATCGTTTTTTAGCAATGTTGTTTTCTACGATATGGGGTTGCCAACACCATTCTCAACCGTTTTCCTTTACCCGGACTTGAGACCAACAGTAGCCCTAGAAGAGCTGCAGTCGGAGTATAATCCCATTGATCGTGATTGTTATGACCTTGATCTGTCTACTCTAGATTAAGACCTTGACGCAATAGGCTGGCCGGTTTAACCTTGAGGCTAGTACGCGTGAGTTCGAGGTGGGGTAGAGAGAAGGAAACTATTCTAGCACCTGACTGACTGGCAAGCATAGTAGTGAGAGAAGACAAGACAGTTGGAACACTGTTGGTTCTATTGCGATATCCCGATTTCCTGTGAAATCTCTGAATTTAGATTAGTGCAAAAAGGTACATGAATAAATAGGTGATTTACCCAACGACAACGTACAATAATGTGGGAAAATACAATTATGTCCAAAACTGGGAATTAGAGTAGAAAATAAGATGCAAAATATGTTTAAATTACAATAGCCTCGGAACAACAAGGGGTATGGCAGTGAATGATACATCAAACGAAAGCTCATGTTCTGTAGAATAAAATAGGGACAAAAATAAATGTCAGTGTTTTGCAAGCTTTGAATAAAATGAAGTAACGTCCCGAAAAATAGCTTACGTAGTTTGTCAGGGCTTCTTGTTTCCCTGTTCACATCAGTGATATTGAAAGTTGATTCATTATTTATCCTCATCTATTTCACGAGTTTTTTTTAGCATATTTTCATACTTTTTCTTTATTAAACTAATTTGTAATTTTTGGTCCGTGTTCTCAACATGTAGCTTTTTAAAATGAATAAAACTAATGTTACTTGGATTGTTTGTTTTCCATTTTAGAAATTTTCTTTTACTATGGTGATATGAAATGAACCAACTTTATATTTCTATCCCCGATCTAACTGATTGACTTAAACATATTGTAATTTCTTACTAGGGTGCTATTACTGCTAACGGTATTAGTGTTTGTTACGACTGTAGGATAAACTGCTCCTAATTACTTGTTCGAATGAAAAAGAATGATATGGCTCGATTAAAAAGAAGAATGCAATACTGTAGATAAAGATTGTATTATGTTCCGACCACTGACTCCAACTCGTCAACTGGATATCAGAATGTTCAGTGACGTATATATCCTCAGTTAACACATAAAGCATTGATTACCTCAGTAAACGTGTATTATCAGTGCAAACCAGTTAAACAAATGAACAATAAGTGTGCTTAATTCATTTATTTAAGCCATAAGTTACATTTCGTAAGTTAACATTTAACCCAAATGACTTCGGTACTTCATATCAGGCATCTGCCACAGACAATGGATAAATGGTTGCGCAAGATCATGGATCCACTGAAGTTAGACATTCACACTGTTGGGTGCCGACTCAGGGTTTTGGAGGTTAAGTGTTAGCTCACGGAACCGAAGGTTCTGGGTTAGAGTCCCTCGTGTGGGGTCGTAAGTGCGTACTGCTGAGGAGATCTATGCAAGGCAGAAATAGCCGCCTAGTTCTTCCTGGTTTTCATCTTTAGATTTGTAAAAGGAAATTAAATGATTTTCTTGACGTAATATACGGACTTATCTACATAAATCCTATATGACATTTGAGATTGGTGAAAATTTTTTAGTAAATCAACAGTCATGAACTCAATGACATCTATCTGGTTGTACATTTCGGTACCTCTTTCATATCACTAACCATGGAATTACTTCTTTGTTAAGTGATATTGATGTGTCCGAAGCCCCTAAGAACGCATCAGAAACAGTTGTAGTGTCAGTTATTATGCCAAGCCCATATACCTTATTCTAGCTTTCGGACATCCCATTTTATTCATTCTGCATGAGCTATACTTTGACCTTGTTATTTATTCGCTTATCAATCTTGACTGTTTTTATATGAGCGTATATGTGTGTGCCCTTCTTATTCCATTAATCACATGTCTGTAGCTTTCTTTTGTCTGACTATAAATATTGAGTAACGCTTGACAAACATGGAGTTGGCTTCCCAGCCATCTTCCATACGCGTCATTTTGCTCTGTCCTATTACATTCACTTTACATACAAAATATATGTATTCAAAATCCCATTCTCGTTATTTGACTTATCTTAATTCCGTTATTGACTAACGTGATTTAAGTCGACTATGATATACGAGAGTCGCGAATACAATCATCTATACGATCTAAATTGGAGTCAGATCCACTGGCCATTACACAGTAAAACTGTCAAAAACACTACATCTGAGCAAAGTTCAATGAAAATTCAGCAAACAATATAAAAAACGATGGTTTATGTGTCATAACTCAATTGGTTAATTACGGATTTTACTATTAATCTAAGCATAGTTGCAAAAGCAACCAGGATATTCACGTCACAAATAAAACGATAAATATCCAGATTTTCTGTATCTTGAGCAAAAGTGTGTAATGAAAGACAAATGGAAATGTTAGTAGTAATACGCACTAATAAATAACTTTTCAGACTTACAAAAGAAATAGGTATTCAAAATTTAGGAGTTGGTGATGTTATTTCAGTGAAGGATGGGCTGGTAATTTACTCTCAATCCGACACACTGAAATGATGGGCGCAGTACTTTGAAAAACAGTTTAACTGGTCCCTAGTTACGTACTGTTATCAAACAACCTATGTTGGATTCTTATTTAAGCTGTTCAACTCTGAAGTTTCGAGAACCATGGTTAATCTAAAGAACGGTAAGGCAGCAAACCCTGATGTCTTAACCCGAGGTGTTTAAGAATGATAGTCTAATTTTAGTAGTTGTCTTGATTGAGATGTTAGACGGAATCTGGAAGCTAGACTTTATCCAATTTGAATGGTCCCAGTTGTTGTCTGTTCCTGTTTATGAGGAGAGACAAAAATCCTCTTGTGACAACCGAAGAGGAATCGGCTTGACTAACATAATGTCAAAAATATTAGCTTTAATAGTGAGCAAAGTTTAACTAGGGCTATTGAAGAATGAAACAGGGAAAACCAGATACTCACACCTCTCCAGGTTCCAAAACATAGATACGCCTACTAACGGTCAATCATAATTTTGGTTGCTTTTTACTCCGTAGATCGACAGGTTTTAAGGCGGTGTCTATCCCTGAAGGGCTTACCAAAGAACTACATCAATTCTGTATAAGCTCTCTACTGGGATATTATTGGTCGAATCAGAGCATATTGTAAACCATCATCAGAGTTTATGACATTAAATGGTGTTCGTTAGGGCTGTCCGCCTTCTCTAATCTCATTTACTATGTCATCGATATACTTTTAGAGATAACGTTCCCGTCAACTTAATTTTCTAGAATTGACCTGACATGAAATTAGCTTGTCGACACACGGATCCCTTCATATATCTTGGAAGTGTCGTCAACCTTGATGAGTTGGTATTTAACCAAATATCGGCACGGATACAGAAAAACGGGATGGAATTTCCTAAACTGCATCACATGCGACTATAAAACGTAACCCGTATATTCGTACTTTACTAGTATTTCACCATAGATGTCTTTGAAGTAATGCTTATTTATGTTTGGGCCACCGAATGAACAATACTGAAGTTGGATACAAGGTACTAGGTTAAGATGGTAAATTGGTTGGTCAAGTCGTTAATGTTCATCGACTTAGGCCCATGTTAATTGATGTAAGAGTGAGAAAAAAGTCAGTAGCCAGGTAAACTGAACAGTGGCATCAGTTCATCAAATCATTGACTTCTTGGACAGAGCTGTGTTGGTAAGTTCAGACCACCTGGCTGGAATCCACTTGATTGTCGTAATTAGTGGTTGGTGACTATGGTTGACCTAACCTAGAATTGTCCAAAATGGGAGAAATGTCGAGCTATCAACAATAAATTTACTATTTCTTCCATAGTATCTTTTTGTGATATTGTGATGTGGATACTTCAGTTGATGCGCATATTTCGCAGATTCGACATTGCGTATGACCGACTAATCTTAGAAATATGTACCCTATACAACCATCTATAATAACATATACTCATTCATCATTTGTTTTTCGAGAAGACGCGGTATCAAATACGACTATAAAACGTAACCTGTATATTCGTACTTTACTAGTATTTCACCATAGATGTCTTTGAAGTATTGCTTACGTATGTTTGGGCCACTGAATGAACAATGCTGAGGTTAGATACAAGGTACTAGGTTAAGATGGTAAATTGATTGATCAAGTCGTGAATGTTCATCGACTGAAGTTGTTGGGTTACGCATCGCATATGCCTGAACATAGTCCACCTCTATGGCCCATGTTAACTGGTATATATATATACATAACAAGTGCTTCGTAAGAAAAACCTACAAAGTGTGAATCAAAATTAACTCTCCGAAGTGATTTCAATGAATAAATTAGATAATAATTACTTTATTATCTATGAAGAAGTAATTCACAATGTCTCATGAATTAAAAATTCATTTGATATATATATATACATCTTCAAATACTTCAAATGATAAAAATCACACTCTTATATGTAATATTAATCTCCTGAATAAATAGAAAGTGATCAATCTTACTCAACATAACACTTTACTAAATTATTGAAAATATTCAATATAACCTCATTATGGTGTTTTACTTATTCAAAACTATACAACCATTTCCTTTATTATATATAATTTTAATTAATTTTTATTGATAAAGTTAATTAATTAATTAAAGTGCTTAGTTTCTAGAAATGAAAACAATTAAACTAATTGTAATAATCATTATTACATTTAATGATATGTATCTATATAGATTGTTAATTATTTAATGACTATTCAGTTCACACAATTGTAAGTACTAACAATAGTACTATTACTTGTAATAATAATAATAATAATAATAATAATAAGAAAGACATGATTTGTCAAATCGACAAAGATATATATATATACGTATATATTTAAAATAGTTTTTGTTGTCAAGGCCGACGGCATGACATGAATACATTCATGAAAGAATTAAAATTAAAAACAAAACAAAACAAACAAAACAATATAGTGAGTTCATGGATATCCAACATCAATACATATTATCACTAATCAAAACTAAATCAATATAAAAGTAAAAGGAAATTGTAAAGAATAGATATAACATACAATACTTTATAACCTGATTAGTTAATTCATTGATAAATCAATATTATAATGAATCAATAATCAATATTATCAATTTTTTTTCAATATTTTTTTTTAATATTCATGTCACGATCAATAATGTTGTTTGTTATATTGGTTATTTATAATTATTTTGTACAATTATCACAGTTGTGCCGGTGTTGTATTATATTATTATATTGAATAAGAGAAAAATAAAAAACAAAACAAACAATGAATTATATAACACAAACTATACTACTAAAACTACTGATAATAATCATAGTAATAATAATGATGATTACAGAATTATAAAATATTAGATTCATAAAAAGTAATTGAATGTTAACAACATGAATTCAAATAAAATTCATGAAGAAAGCGATGAAAAGTGTTAATTTGTTTTTAGAAAACAAAAATGGTTGTAATAAAAATAGTAAAACAAATAAATGAAGAGAATTTTCTGAAATGTTTTTTCAATTATATAAAACTACATATGATCAACAGTTACTATATGGATTGACGTATATTTGAACACAATTACTTATTATTTTTTTTACAGATCAATGTATGTATGTGTGTGTATGTACGTATATGTTTGTAAATGTATTCTTCAATCCGTCTGTTATATTCTTTAAATTCCCTAGAACTAACGGAAACATGGATCATTCATGAGTTACAATAAATAGTACAACAAATAAATATGAGTACATTCATGTAGTAAAATACATACACAGATATAATTTATCATGTTACTACTAATCAACTAATCAATAAAGATTGAGAAAAAAAGATAGTGCGGAATTGATTAAGTGGGTGGTAGTTGGTTAGTAAAATTTCGGGGTGTATCATTTTTTATTACCATTACTATTATTAGAATAGACTTAGTAACTATTTATAACTATTTATAAATAATATAGAATTAAAAAAAGACTGTAACATTAAGAAAACAAAAAAGAACGTCTTGTCTATAATAAGCAATAGTTACTAGTATTTTCTTTTTTTTATGTCTCATTTTTTTTCTTAGAAACAAGAAAGAGAAAGAAAGAAAAAAGTATATTATACATTAAACTGGTGCAATTAAAGAAGGATTCATTGGAAATGTTTTACGTAAACCTAAACATTTTTCACGATCAATATATATACTATTAGCTTTAATAGATAAATCCATTTCTAAACGACTTTTATTATTTAATAAATCTTGATGTGCTGTTTGTATATCTGTTAATTGACTGACAAGTTGATCAATTGATTCTTGTAATTCTGCTATTTCACGTAATAATCTATTGGGGTGAGAAAAAAAAGAGAAATAATTAAGAACAAAATAAAAAAGAGATAAAGAAAAGGAAAATATATTAAAAAGTATATTTCTATTTATGGTTCTAAATAAACTCGTGGATACGCACGATTGAAGAGTCCCACAATAGGACGAAACGGCAGTGCGGTGCTTTCAGGTTTTTAATGGTGATCGAACATCAATCGGTTCATCATCTCAATCAAAAAAATAATAATTAGTGTTGGAATAAAATGGGAATCGGGAGATTTTTGCGATTATTGTGTGATATATTAGGATTTCTAGTTTTACTACTATAGTTATCAGGCAATTAAGTTCTAGTATTTTTAGATTGCCCCATTTATAAGCTTTTATTTACTATATTCATTATTGAGATTACGTTACACTATTTCTAAATTATTTGCAATTAATTACTCGCCTGTTATTTATGGGTTGTTTGTGAACAAACGATGATTTCTTATTTGTGGTGTAGTGATTAATGTAAGAAAGCCTTTTGCTTGGCTACTGTGGTATAGGCAAAGTGTCTTCTGGACCAATTGAAGTAATGCTATTCCTTGACAGTCAAACCAAGTCATCGGTTAAGTTCAGGAGTCTAATAGACATGGAGCGTAAATATCATCAGTTGACTTTAAAGTCAAGCTGCTCAATCATGCGAATTTCTAAGAATAAACGGAATTATTAATTTTCTCAAAAATTAAAGTATCTAGACTGTGACTAGAAGTACAAACTATGATAAGTTATTTGTTTTATTTGTGACTCATCAGCTTGGTGGACCTACATTTCAGTGTTGATACACACCCTGAGTTTTAAACATAACTCTTATTGTTTCAAATGACAACCCATAATTTGCTGAACTAATGAGCCTATACAACTTATAACTTGTTCAAGGGTCATTAAAATGCTATCCAGTCTCCCAACTTAACAAAAATTTTGAAGGTTTTGGTTGCATCTTCCCCAGGATTTCTAATGAAACTTCCGAAAGCTTCTTCAAGAATTAAGAAACTTTCCCCAAAGTTCGGAGATTGGGTACTAGCTGTTTGCAATTTCCTATAGTTGAAATTGAGAATTGTAAACAAACAGTCTATTTTGGTGAATTGTGAATTGTCTTAATATAGCCTTTGTAAAAGGTTTTAATGTATACATAAAACTCTCGCAATGGTTTCTATTGCTCGTTACGATCCATGTATAGTATATATATCGCAAAAATACGCTCAACCATAAACTAACAAAGACTGTTCAGTTACAGTCATGAATTTCGCCAACGAGAAATCACAAACTGCTACTAGGTATTTCGAATATTTAACATATAGTTATTATCAGTGAGGGGTTATGAAGGTTGTTAAGCTTTTGATTGAGATCATGAATCGATAAATGTTATACCACCATTGAAGACCTGGAAGCACTGGATGGCTTTTTATCCTAGTATGGGACTCCTCAACAGTGGATGCCGACCCAGTGGTTTAGATGTTAAGCGTTCGCGCGCGCGACCGAAAGTCCTGGGTTCGGACCCCGCGTGCGGAATTGTGGGTGTGCACTACTAAGGAGTCCCATATAGTTACTCATCATTTTGTAAACGAATGTACATTAAAATCATTAGTGACTATATAGTGCAGCAATAAAGCTTAGTTTGGTATTTCTAACTCATTACTATACCATAATATTCAATATTTAGCACCTCTTGTTTAATTCTTGATAGGCAACACTTACTAGATCGTGCTAATACACTTGTATGAAAGAAGATATTTAAAATTCATATCCTATGGACAACATAATATTATTCTGTCCTCAAATGAGATTTTTGATAACTGATGTTCTGTAAATTTATTTATTAGTTTAGTATAAACAGTTTTATGGAATGAATTTTATGTTTACAGAACTAAGTATCAATGAAATTCTTTAATACATACATGAACGAGGATACAAGTAATTAGTAATGTACATGATATACACAAACATCTGGAACTCAAAACAACTGTCAACCAACACCAAAGTCAGAATTTTCAATACAAATATCAAGACAGTTCTACTATATGGGGCAGAAACCTAGAGGACTACGAAAGCTATCATGCATAAGATACGAGTGTTTATTAACAGTTGTTTGCGCAAAATACTTCGGATCCGTTGGCCAGACACCATCAGCAACAACCCACTGTTGGAGAGAACAAACTAGATCCCAGCGGAGGAAGAAATCAGGAAGAAGCAATGAAAGTGGATAGGACACACATTGAGGAAAGCATCCAACTGAGTCACAAGGCGAGCCCTCACATGGGATCCTCAAGGCCAAAGGAAAAGAGGAAGACCAAAGAACACATTACGTTGAGAAATGGAAACAGACATGAGAAAAATGAACAAAAATTGGATAGAACTGGAAAGGAAGGCCGAGGATAGAATGGGTTGGAGAATGCTGGTCGGCGGCCTATGGTCCAGTGGAAGTAAGAGGAGTAAGTAAGTAAGTAAGTAAGTAAGTAAGTAAGTAAGTAAGTAAGTAAGTAAGTAAGTAAGTAAGTAAGTAAGTAAGTGATATACACATCCATTGAATACAATTATTTTACTATTCTTAAGTTAATTAGTAAACAAAAAAAGGATATTGAAATGAATAAATAAAATTAGTTAAGTGAACAATAAACATATTGGTATGCATTGATTGGAATGTTTATTAATGAGATGTATACGTATATAATAACTGTATTTATACTATGATGATTGAATTACCTTCATATTCTTCAATGTGTGAAATCTTTCTATTTATAATTTTGAGTTCAAGCTTAATTGATTTCTCATCCTTACTTAGTACTCTATTTCTAATCTAGGCGCTACTTACTCGGTGGATTCAAAATACATGAAAGATATTTCAAAGACACCTACGATCGAATATTTGTAGTCTATCCTAATGCTCGTGTTTCTCATCCGTAAATTTCAGTGGCGAGAACTGATGCACTGTAAACTCTTGCTTTGGTTGACACACGGATCATATATGACATTGAGTCATATTTTGTATTATTATCACCGATAAGTTTAACTAACTATTTAAATGGGAACTTTTTTGACAAGCATTTGCTGCTGTGTTTTTCGAATTGATATATTGGAAAATTTCTTATTCCTAGTGAAGTAGAAGAGTCAATTAGTCATCTAAACGTAAGATCAGGCACATATATGCATCGGCTCAAGTCGCTAGTAGTGTAATGAATTATTCATAAATTGACATTCAGGTAAGAAACTTGATCGTTAATAATAAATTTTATGATATCAGTGAACGTCCAGTCCATATTCACCACTGTTTTTCTAACGAAAATTATATACTCTGAGCTTAATTAGCATTGTATGGAATTCCTATCTTCAAATTAAGAGAGGCAGTCTTTTTGGTGAACAGGAAATGTACACTTTTGGTTCAATTTTCAGTTTTACAGATGGTTGGATTAAGTAGAAATAAAATACATAATAATAGTTACACGTTAGTCATATGTGACTAATGAATGGAAGGACAAGGTTGTGTTGACACACATCACAGTTTCTATGTGACTTACAACTGTCTTACTCAGAAGTACTCACACCACTCAAAATGGAAATATGAACCATTGTACGCTGATTTACTTGTTCAGGAGTATTGTACTTATAAGTATGATAATTGGCATGGTGTCGAGCAAGCACTGTGTATTAGTCTTAGAGTCGCACTACGACGACATCCAGTGTTCTCTGATTTTTCAGGTGTTCTTCATCTTATATAAGCCTCATGCTGAGCAAAATCCCAAAAAATTGTTTCATTTAAAAAGAGAACTGAAGAATATTAAAAGTAACCAAAGAAGAATAATTTTGATAAAGGAGAGAACTACAAGTTGTTTAATTGACTAGTTTAAATAGAATGTACAAAGTAGACCACCGGAACTTATAACCGAATAATCACTGAACAGTGACCAAACACAGATTTAATTCCCATAAAAGGCATCGATTCTGTCTGATGAGTGACAAGTGGCCTGAAACCTAGGTTAAGTGTTTCATGTTGACTGCCATCAACCATCTAATATCATTTTAATTATTTAACCTTATTATTGCCTAAACTTCTTTACACTGTAAATAGAAAGCTAACTCTATATCAGTACGTAAAACAACTGAAATCACTTTTGATATGATAATATTAATCGTGATCTATTGATTATTTTACTCAGTAATATTATAGACATTGTGAATATGAATAAACCTCATTATTAATTTTGACAAGAATAACTTTCACATTAAAGATCTGAAATTAGACGAAATATATATTTAATGAGTTTCTATAGTTGAGATCATGAAGCTAAACCACCATGGAAAACCTGGAAGCACTGGACGGTTATTTCGTCCTATTGTGGGACTCCTCGGCAGTGCAGATCCACGACCACGCCTCACGGGATTCGAATACACAACCTATCTAGCTTCAATTGACTTATGATCTCAACTATAGAAATTACTACAATCTCCACAAAACCCCTTCTGATAATATTCAATAAGCTAAAAACAATAATGTACTCATAAAGTCGAGTAATCGTTATTTATGGTAATTTTACTTGTGAGATGTAACTGTAAAAATTTTTAGTATCAAGTCAACAACATCATAAAAATAAAAATAAAGGATTACCAACAGCATTAAGTAATATTTCTTATGTAAGTCGAAAAGAATGATACCGTTGGAAAAGGTGAAGAAATACGAATTTGTGGAATTATAAGTATGCGCAATTAATGATATTTCACAACTGAAACAAGCAACCTGTTCATTGTTATGTGCATTTCAATAGATTTTCAACCCTATATTAATTAATTGATGATTAAAGATAACTTTAAATCCAATGACTTTTTACAGAGTACTTAACTGAATTGATTTGCTATTTTTAAGTGAAACACTCCAACAGTATCCAAGTCTAATCATGCATTGTTTATTAACTGAAATCATTAATTATAATAAAGTTATGATCATTAAGCTGAACTGTCTAGTTATGAGTTGTTTATTGTTGTTTT